CATATATCCAGTTATGAACAAATATTTATCTTGTTGATAGGGATAGATGACCAGTGAATGGGTCATGGTGATGATTTGAAATTATTATCAATGTTGTAATTGGTCAAACACATGGTTTTAAATGTTTTGTTTAAATTTCAGGGACAAAATTCCTCGAGGGGGAAGGTCATAGCATTTCTGGTTTAAGCTTGGCCCATTTGACTTTTGGATTAGTTTTCTTTTCCTTATATAGTTGTTCTTGCCTTGTTTCCCACTATTTCTTCTTGAATTGAGCTATTGGGTTGTGTTGATTGCGTTTGAAACAGGTTGATAACTTGTTTTTCAAACTTTTGTTGCCTAGATTTACATTTCTTCGCTCTAGCGGTCTTTGTGAATATTCAGTATTTTTGCAGGTTTGCAAAACTACTAGGAGTTTGTATTCTTCGCTCAAGCAAAGCTTCTTGCACTCAAGCGGAACAACTTATTGTATCTAGTCCCTCGAGCGACACATTTGCGCTTGAGTGAACTGTGCATATATCAATTTGTAAAAACACTTTTCTTAGTCACTTTTTCACCCCTCTCTCTCTCTCTCTCTCTAAACATTTCAAAACCATAATATCTCTCACTTTTTCTAAAACTCGTCTATTTTCCTCAAATACGCCTAAATCCGTCGATCTTTTCACTTGTGTGCCTTCGTTAAAAAGGTAGAGTTTGACGAGGGCTTCGTTCTAATCGGAGCAAAGTTGAATTTTGACATCTTTGAATTTTCATCCATCCTTCAATTATTTTCTAAGCTTGAGGTAGGGATATTTTCGTTCTTTCTATGAGTTTTAAGTTAGTTATTTATTATTTCTAAACCATATTCAGATCTTTGGGAGATTTGGAACAATCTAGGGTTCTGAATAAAAATCAAAAGAGGGATTTTTCAAATAGATCATTGAAAATGATTTTGTTATGGAAGATAATGTTGAGTTAGGGATGAATCGTCGATTTTGAATGTTGGAATTGATTTTGGGAAGAAAATGAATTTTGCCCTACATGTCTCAAATGTTGATTTTATATAATTTATGATATTGATATTGGAATAACTACAACAAAACTGAGTTTTTACGGCTTCACATCAACAATATACAGTAAATGCAAGCCGTGGTTTCTTACTTTTACGACTTGCTTTTTTTACATGTCGTAAATAATTCTCCAACCACGACTTGTCTATTGCGTAGGTCGTGAATGCTAATAATGATGATTTTTTTACGACTTGTAATATTAGCCGTAAATAATAAAAAATTTTATGACGTGTATATAGCATGCCGTTAATACATCAACTATACACGACACGTGTACACCAACCGTTAAAAATATTGAACATTTTACGATGCACAAAAAGCCAATCATTAAAAATTATACTTTTCACGATGCACAAAAATCAACCGTTTAAAATATTACACTTTTCCACGACATACAATTGCTGTCGTGAAAGATACGACTGGAAAAAAACAAAAAAACAAAGCGTCAAAATAAAAATTTTGAGCGTCAAACGCTAAAAAAAATTTATAAAAAAAAAAACTTACCTTCAAACCCTAGGTGTATATTGGGGGTGTTTGTGAAGAAAAAAATAGCCTAATTTAGGCTAAAATTTACAAAAAGACAAAATATGCTAAAATAACTAATAAGACAAAATATCATATCAAACCCATAATCATTTCACTTTTTCTCTCACAAACATCACATCCAACCACAAAAAAATCCAATCATCTTTCCAAACACAAAAATTTTAACCTACTAAAATAACCAAAAACTAAAATATCCTACTAAAATAGCCGCTTCCAAACGAGGCCAAAGAAACGATCAAAAGCCATAACAAATTGCTTTCTGGGTTTGCTGGGTTTTTGATATCTTTTGGTGGGTGTGAGTTAGAATTTTCATAGTTCTGTGCCTGTATATACAAATTGTAAAGATTTGTATGTACAGGCATGGTGATGACGGTGGCGTCGCCGAGGAAGTCGATAAACACGGTGTTCCAGAGAGCTGGGGTCTCTGGATTTGGCCAGAGCAGCCAGAAGAGGCGCAAGTATGACATTCGGGGTGATGATGATGATGATGAAGAGACGATGGAGATGATGCAGATTGGTGCCGAGAAGACCAAGAATGTGTTGATCTTGATGAGTGACATCGGCGGAGGCCATTCTAGACTCCTACAGATTGGAGTTTGGGGACGAATATCGGGTATTTGAACTCGTTTCCTCTTCTGGGTCTTCATAGATTCTCATATATTGTGTATATTATGCAACTACTACTTTGATGTGGGAATGTTCTAATTGATGATTTTGTGGAGTTTCTTCTGAGGCCATATGTGATTAAATTGGAGTTTGGTGATGAGTACGAGGCAATTGAATTGAACCTTTTCTGGGTTTTCTATGGGTACTCTTTAGTGTTGTTTTTACTTCCTCATTCTATTTGTTGCCCTGGTTAAAATTGCCCCTTTGTAGGTATTGTATAGTACTTCATCAATTTGACCATAAAATGGATTGTAAGTGATCTCTTCATAATGCGTGAGTGTCAGCAGGCATTATTATTTTAGGATAAATGGTCATGAATGTCTATGTATCCATGAGAATGCATTTTATCTACGCATTTTACTTTCCATGTACTTCCTTGAATTATTATATCTGCTTAATACTGATGTACATTTAAGATTACTTTGGAGGCTTGTGTATACTGGATTCATTTGCCTGTATGGAAAAGTTAAATGGGAGGTTTTAACATGTAAGACAACATTCATATTCACATTCACAAACTTTATCAGACAGCCAGTAGTCATTTCATGCATTATGCTTTACTGCTGCTTTTCATAAGAATTCGATTCGAGCACTCTGTGCATAGTGATTAGGATTGACTGCTATTTTTAGGAACCAGAATCTAATGGTAATGAAACATTTTACGTGGAGAGCAACCAATCTTATTTACTATGTTGAGTTTCTCTGCCTTTGTCAACTCTTGGGTATTCGTATTTCATCTCATTTTGTTGCTTAATCTTTGGTATAATCTATATAGGTTCTTGTTCACAATCTAATCTTTCTGTTATATAGGTTGTCTTATTTACTAGCCTTTTTCTGGAATGAAGTTGAGCAAAACAGAGGAGTTGCGTAACACTGCTAGTATACCCATGGTATTGATGTGTCCAAATGTGTACTTCCTTATTCAGTTTCATTTCCTTTTACCCTATAATTTAGTATCATTGTTCAGCAAATAAGTGTGTCTGCTGTTTGTGTGTGCATGTGTGTTTGATTCTGTGGCTAACAAACTTGTTTTTGTCTTTTTCTTTGAAATTTCCTGTCATTTGAAAGATTCACCTCCATTTGCATCTGTCTATTTTCTTGTCTCACTGTCTCTACTTCCAGATTATCAGCGGCTTTTGAGTTCCATGCCTTCTCGCAGGTTGAACTCATTAAAGCTTGTAGAAAACAATAGTGAGTTCTCCTACTTCTTACTATTATAGTAAATGTATGACAAATTTCTAGTCCTAGGAATTCGATTAACTTTTCACTTTTTAAAGGAAGGTTTGCCTTCATTTGATGGCTTATCATAGCAGTTTTTTTGTTTTTTAGTTTATTTCTTATAAATTTACAGTTGTAAAGATTTGTTGTTTGTTGTGATTCACATAGATCTATTGTAAATTTCAGATTCCTTTTTGTTTTCATTTTGATATACATATCTTTGAACTTGATTTTTATTATTATTATTTTTTGTTTGTTGTTTGTATAAGGTGCATACCATATGCACACGTTTTGTGGAGCACATGATAGCCTTTCCCTAAAATCAATTGCCTTAGAGCCTATGCTATGTGCAGGCATTTTGAATTTTTAAAGCATAGTAGACTTCACACACAGATAGAAACTGCCATCTTTGTGTAGCGATTATTGAGTGACAATATGATCTGGAATTTTTTTATCAAACTGGATATTTTAGTTGCTGTCCTTATAAATTAGCAATTATCATGAAAGTATAATGCGTTTTCCTATTGATTGCAGCCAAGCTCATTTTTTAATGAACAACTAACAGCTTTTGAGGTGTGGCTCAACTCTGGGTCCCAACATAAGAAGCCACCAGAGCAATTGCCAATTGTTCTTTGGGTGAGACTTTAGATGCCCTTATCAGTATTGCAAACTCGTAGTTTCTATATTCTTAGTGACTTATGAATAAGTTATTTGAGTACACCAACAATAGGAAAGAATATATCGGTACACTATCCAATTCTGTAATAATCTTTCTATTTTTTGAATCCTCTTTCATTTATCATCTAAAGGTTATTGTAGATGCAAATTTCGAAACGTGAAATGTTTTAACACATTTCAAAATTCATTTCATCCACTGTTTAGTCTCATTTAGGCTAAACAGTGTCAATTGTTTATTGTGGATTCCTATTTCCGATTTGAATTCCAAATTGTTAATTACACACTTCAAACAATTGAGACCTCCAATTAATGAAGAATAGAAAAGTTGAAGAAAAAAAAAGAGAGAAGAGAATTTAAGCAAAAGAATTATTTCATTAAAGTTTCGGGGATTTAAACCCTCTAAATACACCAAGTACAGTCAATGGGTTTGTATGCAATTCTCTAGGTTCTAACTTTCTCAGAACTCTCAGCTTTGGAATTCTCTTGATTCTCGTCTTTCTCATCGTCTTTATGTTGTCACCTCTTGTATGTGATGGTCCTCATATTTATAAAGGGACGTCTACATGATAAGCGACTCTTATCCTCAGTTTGAATTTCAAATTTTATGATTACTCTGTTCAAATTTGAACATAATGTTATCATATCAAACATGATTAACTATATTGATCTTCTGGATTTTATCCTCTGTAGCTTCCTTCTTGTAGGCTCTGTACATGTCATCCTCTGATTGAATGCATTGTCCTTTGAATTTTGTAGGCTCCATGTGTCACTCGACTTGTATAGACTTGAAGATCTTGAGTAACATCGTTTAAATGCGATGTTATTGTATCTTATCAGGTATCTCAACTGATCGTATTGATCATTTTAGTGTTGTTTTCCTGTAGCCTTTCCATCGTAGGCTCTACATGTGCGCCACCACTTGGTTGAGCAAGTTGTCTTTTGAACTTTGTAGACACCACATGTCAGTTGTATAGGTTCAAAGGATTTGAATTTTAGAGTCCCATCACCCCATTGAACTTGGAATCTAATCCTAAATTTGGTTAAAATTTATGTGCCAATAGTTATGATTTTAGTACAATGGTTTTTTCCACAAGATTGTTTTAAGTGTTGTCAGTTTCATAACCCATGCATTGTGCAGCCATTCTTGTTGCCCATTGGTTGATTAATGTTTTAGTCTACTTAACTGCACGGTTTTTTGAATTAGTTCATAAGACTATGTTTTGAGTGAGTTTGGTTCATTATTAGGATGACTTGTCAACTTGTGAGTCACAATGCTGAGTGCTTTACAAAATCTTTCTATCTTGTCCTCTTCCAAACTAAAATTGATTTTACCGTGCTATTTTGAAGATATCTATGTGTTAACAACTAAACAAAAGTTTATTAAATAGGGTAAGCAACTATAATATCACTGTGCACTGGTACTAATTCAGTTATTTGGGCTGTAGCGATGCATGCTTTTTGTATTATTTTAGAATAAAGATGTGTGACTAATAAATACCCATCTGTCATGTGGGACAATGGATTGGAGCCATATGCATATGGTTCAAGTTGTGGCTACGAGGGAAGGCATGATGGTCTACAATTTACAGTAGATATTGACTTTAATAGGGCAGTGAGTTGATGCTTTGTCATATTTATTTTTACTTTTGTTCTCTCTCTCTCTCTCTTCTTTTTTTTTTAAAAAAAAAAAAAAATTTAATTACCAAATTATTTTAGGTTTTGCTCAGTCAAAGTCATCGATTCCAAGCACTGTTCCTTCTTGGAAGATTCCTTGATATGGGTCCCTGGGCTGTGAATCTGGTAACTTTTCTAATGCTTGTCTTCTTTTTTATCTTTTTCTTCTTCATTTCAACCCTAGTCCAGTTTGCTGTCATTTTGTACTGTACTTATGCAAGCAGTTTGCTATGCATCTAGATCTTGTCAGTTGGAAATTTTCCATGTGTGCTCAAGTTGCTTAAAACACCAGCAGCAGACCTGAGACAAAGTCTTGTATTCATATGGACAAAGATCCTTGCATTTGATAAGGTAATTTGTTAGTCGTTATATATGTGTATGTCTTTGGCAAGTCATAAACTAGTGAGGAGGAGTCCACATGTTTCCGGTGTGAGAAGTGCATTCATCCTTCCTATCTGATGTTGTTGATTCAACTTTTGGTTGATAAAATAGACTCTCTTACACTAAATGTTCCTCTGTGTTGAAGAATACAAAAACTTCTAGTATCAGAAGATGTGTTTCCAGTCTGTAATATGACGAGACAACACACACTCACACAACATGGATGGCTTTTAATGTATTTTTCTTGATTTTTTTTTCTTGACATTCTTCATTTTTGTCCCATGGCATAATAGTCATGTCAGGTTGATTTGGTAAAGGATGGAGGGCACTTTTATTTCATCAAATTTCTTGATAGCATTGATGCATGTCCTAAACAGCGAGCAATGACTACATTTGTTTTGACTGTCATTGTGGATGGGCATAGACAGGGACATGAAGCTTGTGTTAATACTGATCTTATACACCTGTGCTTGAGGTATCTTCAACCAAATGATGTCCAAACTGAGCCTCTTCTTCTTCAGTGGCTTTGCCTCTGTCTAGAAAAGCTCTGTGAGGATTGTCCTAAGGCGCAGGTTATAGCTTTGCGAGCAGATGCACTGAAGTTACATGCACTATTGTCGGATCCCCAACCTGAGGTCCTCTTTCATTCTTTTTGACTCAATGTTTAGGTTTGAAAATGAGTAATTATTTAGAACTCCATCTTACTGTCCGTATGCCTTGTTTCAGGTTAGGGCTTCTGCTACTTTTGCATTAAGCAACCTACTTGAAAGTGGATCTGACTCATGTGAAGATTGGAGTGAAATTAGTGAAGAAATTCAGGACAACAAGAAGATGAAGGATGAAATTAGTCTAGTTCAGAGGCTACACATGCTAGAAATAGCAGTTTTAGAGACTCAAACTTGTTATGCTGAAGAACTTTGCTGCTGCAAGTATGGCCCCTTTGGATTTGGGTGACAGAATGGGTGAAATGGGGTGTCACCTCACTGGATGATTCCACATGCTGCATTCTGTTAGAGCTTTTTTTCCCAATCCCTTTATTTATGCGCATGAGAGCATGTGTGTGAGAGTGATAGAGCATTCTACAACTTACAGAAATATCATGAAATATAATGATATTTTGCTGCAAAAATATGCTTGTTTCATATTCTTGTGTTTGAGTTTTAACTATTTTATGTTCCTCCATTTCAACTTGGTAGATATTAATGCAACAGTTTATTTATTTACGAAATGAAAAAATAAGCTTTGTGATTCATCTATTTGCTAACTTTATTTTCCATTTATGGAAATTGTAGAGAAACTTCATAAAATTTTTGAAACGTAATAAAATTTCTTGGTCTCTTAAAATTATGAATTAATAGTGGATTGACCATAGGTTGCTCATTGTTGACTATTGCATGTACAAACTTCCATGCTTCTTGTTACTATTTTGCATTTATTTGTTTAATTCTTGATCTTGTTGGCCAATTTGCCACTTTGAGAAAATGAATGACATTTTTTTTTTAATCATTGGTGGCTTATCATTGTAGTACATTATGACGGTGGAGAAAAGGTCAACCCATTGAGTCTTGGGAGGCTCATAAGGCAGCCATTCAAGCTGTTATAAAGTTAGTTTCAGGCGAGCTTGTTACAGGTATAGTTAATTCAAATACAATGAGGCACGGCAATTCAATGGTGTGACTGTGAAGGCATATTCCTCTTCTTCTCATATACTCTTTCCTCTTATCCAGCCTTCAAGTTCCTAATTTTCTTTCTTAATCATTATCTCAACCATCAAATTGCTTTAGGTATAATTCCATTTTATTGACTATGTTTTATGGTAATTGCGGTTCAAGTGACACAACTCTAAAGCTTTGGAAAGGAAGGACATGTGTGCATACTTTTGTTGGGCATACAGGTTTGCTTTTGCCCCCCCTCTTTCTACATGACTATTGCTTTTTGATAATTTTGACACATTTTAATTTTTGATTTATTTTGCATTCTTATCTTACCTTAGCAATTATGGTGATTAGATGAGAAATCATTTTCGTAATATTCAAGCTTCCTATAAAATGAAAGTCCCAAGTAATGGATAAAATGAAAGCTTCCTATAAATCATTTGACTTGGACTCTTTATTTTGGAACTTACAATGGTAATGGATAAAACCTATACAAACCTAAACCTCATACATAGAGATCATTTAACATAATTATGCAAGTCTCAAGTAGGTGTTGCATTGAAGTAGATTAATTCTACCTCTTCCTCTTTTTAAATTTAATTTTTCTCTTGAGCTTCTTATGACTTGGATTTAGTAGCAAACTGTATTTTTCCTGTACAAACTTAATGGTTTGTTTGAAGATTCTTACTCATTTCCCTCTAGAAACATTGCAACAACAGAGGTAATTTCATTTGAGGTATAAAAAAAAAGGTTTTGCTTTATGTGGATTTTATTTACATATACGTTGAGACTATTGAGATCTTGAATTTTCGCAAATTTTTCATTATGACATTGCTTTTATGGGGCCATTGAATTATTTTATTAATTTTGGAAATGTTTTGTTGATGTTTTAAAATTTCTTGATCATTTCTTAATACCTCAAGAAATATTTTTTTTTTTTTGAGTCTGTGTTTGTACTTATGTGAAGTTTCCTTTGTCATGCAGACAAGAAATGCAAAAAGGTTAGTTGCTCCAGCTATTGCTGCTGGTTTAGGTGCCTTAACACATACATTGGGTACCCTCGTCCCTGTGATAGGAGCAAGTGGATTTGCTACAGTTGCAGTTGCAATTGCTAAAGAAATTATTGTCGGTAGTTTTAGATAATCTCTTAATAGTTATCGCTATGTTTAGAAAGTTAGATATGCATAGCTTTGGATAGTTTAAACTTTTTGTACAATTTAGAACTTAAAAGTTATAGTTTTCGAATGTTTGGAATGTATAGACAATTGTTAAATGTTTATAATTTAATGATATAGTTTCTTTTTGATGTTTCAAATAATACTTTGGTGGTTGATTGATGTTTTGTGATGCTTGTTTGTAATATTTGTTAGATTATACAAAATTGGTCAAATAGAACCTGCTGAATTTAAAAAAAAAAAATTGTATATTCTACGACAGGCATAATAAGTCGTTGTATTACATATTTTACGGTGCACAATCAGCGTTGTTATTTGTCTCACCAATTAATGGCGTGCAAAAGTAGTCATAGAAAAAATAACGACGCACAAAATCTACTGTTAAATAGTTTTTAACGGCGTACGAAGCATGTCGTTGAAAGTGAATGACTTTCCATGACTGGTCATAATATGATGCGCGCTGCATGTCGTAGAAGGGTTTTTACGGCGTGCATTGGCACCATAAAAACCCCCTTTTCATTGTAGTGGTTGTGAAATTGGACTGATGTTGATGAGAATGGTGCAGTTAGATATGTATTATTACCCACCTCTTGAAAATTTGGAGTTTATCTTTATTGGTGATTGTTTATCTGTTTAGAAATAATTATTTTGGACTATCAGAGTGTTATAGAAATTGCATGTGAATTAAAATAATTAAAACTATTTTTCTCATTCATTTGCATTGAGCATTATCACACACTTATACATTTGAAATGTTACTGTTTTGAGAAAATGGGTGAATCTAGGAAAGGAATTGTTGTTATATCAAATAAGTTGGCTTGTGTATCCAGGGTGAAAGTTTCAAAAACCACGCGTATACATGGGTGCCGATCCCGCGGATGAAATTTTCATGAAATAGTAATAGTAGTGCTTATATAGTTTATGTTTACATGGGTCCTGGCTTACGATTTCCTCCGGATGAAATTTCTAGGAAAGGTTTTATTGTTTTGAAATTCCAAAAGTGTGATTCACTACCTTGTTTTCTATTATAAAGGAAATGATGTATGAACCGTGATATTGATTTGGTAATATATGGTTTTGGAAAGAGATATAAAATGTTTTGACATGTGTATTACATATGCATTCACCTTATAGCATTGTTAAGATTCATATATTGTGATGGACTATTTCTACTGGACTTTAGCTTACCCTATGTGGGAAAAACATTTCAGGTACTAATGATATGCCTCCGCCAAGGTAATAGCTTTGGAGGACTTGGAGCTAGAGCTTATGGTTATCTGTTTAGCCTTCATTTTTTTTCACATGCTGTAGATTCAGGATATACTATTTATGAATGTATATCACATGTGTCATCTTTTTTATATCAAACTCTGATTAATAAAAGCTTATTATTTCATTTATGTTGCTATTTATTAGTTATTATGAGATGGGTATATTGTGTTTATTTTGGAGCGTTACAGTGTTGTCCTAAATTTTTGGGAAAAAACTTACGTGTTTTTTTGGTAAACTTACACATTTTTTTGAAATCAGTTACGTGATTTATGAAAACTTATGCATTTTGTGTTATTTTAAATTTTTGTAAACAAACTTACACATTTTGTGTTGTTTTAAATTTTTGTGAATAAACTTACGCATTTTTGTGTTCAGTTACGCATTTTTGTGAAATCATTTACTTGATTTGTGAAATCTTATGCATATTTGTGTTTTAAATTTTTTAGAACAAACTTATGCGTTTTTGTGGTCACTTGCATATTTTTGTGAATTCACTTACGTGATTTGTGAAAACTTACGTCTTTTGTATTGTTCTAAATTTGTGAGAACAAACATACTCATTTTTGTGAAAATTTACGCATTTTTGTGAAATCATTTACGTAATTTGTGAAAACTTACGCATTTTGTGTTGTTCTAAATTTTTTAAAACAAACTTACGCATTTTTGTGTTCACTTGCGCATTTTTGTGAAATCACTTACATGATTTGTGAAAACTTATATATTTTGTGTTAATCTAAATTTTTGGCAAGAAACTTACACATTTTTGTGTTCAATTACGTAATTTTGTGAAATCAGTTACGTGATTTGTGAAAATTAATATATTTGTGTTATTCTAAATTTTTGAGAACAAATTTATGCGTTTTTGTGTTCAGTTACGTATTTTTGTGAAAACTTATGCAATTTGTGTTGTTTTAAATTTTTGGGAATAAACTTGCATGTTTTATGTAAACTTACGCATTTTTCAGAAATTATTTATGTGATTTGTGAAAATTTACGCATTTTGTATTGTTCTAAATTTTTAGAAACAAAATTATGTATTTTTTTTGTTCAGTTACGCATATTTGTGTTGTTCTACATTATTTAGAACAAATTTATGCATTTTTGTGTTCACTTATGCATTTTTGTCACCTACGTGATTTGTAAAACTTACGTATTTTTTGTTCTAAATTTTTTAGAATAAACTAATGCATTGTTGTAAAAATACTTACACATATATAGTGTAATATATTATTTTAATATGTTTACCTATACGTTGACCTACTTAGCAGGTCAACAATGTATAAATCCTAGGGGTACTTACGTATAATTCCTAATAAGTGGACTTATTATCTAATAGTTCCTATGAGAAAAATTTGTCATAAAAAAAGTCACTAATTGTAAGTTTTAATGTCAATTTATAAAAATTATAACCAACAAAATCACTAATTGTCAATTTTTAGCGACATGTAAAAAATTGTTACAAAAAAAAAAAAAATTTTAGTAACAATTTTACCAAGACTTATTTTCAATGGGACTTGATAGAAATTAAGTCCAACTATTATGACCTATTAATAGTTTACCCTAAACTTTCTAACACAAAAATGTAGAAGTTTTAACACAAATGTATGTATCCCAAACAACAAAAATATTTGAGGATTCATATATGCCTTACATACCTAAGAATTATCCAACCGTAAAGCTTAAGTTTATCACAAAATTAGGATTAGGTATGAAGTATTCAAATTTGACAAAAGAAAGTTATCTTGTTCTGAATCAATGCATTACACCTCATAAAAATAAAAAATAAAAATTACCTGTAAAATTTCAAACATGAAATGCAAGAAAAAAATTAATTTGAATTATACATGTCAAACAGTAGAATTAATTACAATACAATGACTTAAATTTTCAGTGAGAAAATAAGCTGTATTATATTAAATTCAACAATCTAGCTCAATATATATATATATATATATAATATTCAACAATGACTTAAATTCATGTTTATTATATTTTATATTTATTAATAACAGAATTTGGGTCGTTCAAATTACTGTTCATACATAACCCAAATAAAAATTTATTTTGCTTAAACTTCTAAAAAATTTCAAGTTGGACACGTGATATTCGGTATGGATCTACCAATTTTTTTCTTCTTTCTTCTTTCAATTTTTTTTTGTGGTAATAGATCTAGGAATTTCAAAATCATTACTCCCCCCAGCACAATCACTCTAATTTCACTGCAAATTACTCCAAATTTATGGAGTTAACTAACTTTAGAGACACTAACAATAATAGTAAGCCTCACCTTAAGTGATGATATAAAACCCATATAAATTTAAAAAAATAGAGTAATTTAGTTAATGTGTTATATTGGAATGGCAATACACAGGGTCACCTCATTAATGTTTTTCAATTAGAAATGAATAAGTGCCAAAGCAATAATGTAAACTGGTTCACATACAGTTTTTGCAGAAATGGCTAAGCAAGAAAGAGTTGGAGGCAAAACCATAAATATATTTAAAACTTACCAAATGAAGTAGCATACATACAAACTGAATTGATTGTTCATCAAGAAGTCAATTTTAAGTTAAAGGATAACAATGGTGGTTGAAAAAGAGAAGCTCAAGTTGTTGTCCATGTGTAAACCTGGCCTCCACTTATGGATCCTGCAAGCATCCCAATCTGGTAAGGGTGTGTATCAAAGCGGCATGGAATTGCAGACAAATTTGGGCTCTGTAAAGTCGCAACACGTACTCTCCTAGCCGTGGAGATAACATCAACTCCTCTTTTCATATTACCAATGAAGAGATATGAATCATCCCAACCCCATACTGCTCTGCTTTTTCAACCAAAAGAAGAAGCTATCTTAGCAATCAATCCCATCTTATATAGATAGATACAAAGTTTTATATAAAAATTTCTGGCGTTAAAATGAAGATCCAAAAGGTCGAGATTAATTTATCCTATTAAATCTTTTAATCACCAAAAGAACAACAAATCATGCACGAGTATTGGTTATTTTCACACTAAATACTCTTAGAATTTGTATTTTGAAATTTTCACAAAAAGAAGGAAAAAGGGGTACAAAATCTATCCAACTCGACAGTTCAAGAATCGTATGAATTGTAGTGTTAATCGAATTGTGAATCATAAGATTCATTGTCAATTCTATTCCAAAATAAATTCACCTATAGATTCGCATCCATCTATGCATGAATCATGAATCAAACCGTCGATTCTAACAACTACATGACAAAAGTGGGAACATGAACACATTAAAAACAAATAGGAGATAATATACATCTGCATGGGTAGGATGATGATTCATTTTCCATTTTATTTTTTCATTACAAACATGTAAGGCTAAATAGAAATGGTTATGGACAACCAGCATAAAAAAAATGTGAATGATTCATATCTAATTATATAATCTATACATGGATGTCTATTCTGAGTCTAATCTAAAAGTTCCGAGTCAAGGTAGATTTTGCAAAGTGAATCAGTTACAAAAGCACATAAATCCAATTTAAGTTTAGATGAGAAAACACCCACAAACGTAAATCAGTTTTACCAAAGAACAGTGAGCTGATTGTTCCAGACCTAATCACAACAGCATGACAACATACAAAAAATTATACCTGAATGAAGAAATCCATCTACCTGTCTTATTATTATGGTTGATCATAGTTATGTCTTCAAAATTAGATCCAGTCAGTAAGCCAACATTGTCATCAATACTGTGAAGAGATTGAAATTTCAAAGATCAGAAAGAGCGAGCCACCAAACGGATTATCAAAGTAACAGATTCCTATGACCACTTCCAGAGTGATATGCAAGTTATTTTTGACGAAAATAAGATTTGATCATATAACATAATCTATATATACTTAAAAAAGAATTGGTAACTAAAGTGGAAGGGTTGACTAGTAACTAGTAACTGTACGTTCTTAACAATTAATTAGTACCTCCATTAAAATGGTGGTAAATAGAAAGAGAAAACCTACCTAGAACCCAGAGCAAATAAGCCGAAGTGCAATTAGAAGTTGAGCATCAACACATTTTCAGCCCATGTTGTGACGATCGCTAATATGAATTTTCTTTTCTTTTTTCTTTTTTGGTTTTCAATAAAGTTTAATAATAAATTGTGAACATCTTAACTAAATTCAGAGTATACATACTTGAAATAGAAAAATATTTAAGCTGAACCCCCTTCAAAAATTATACACCATCTTAAAAGTAACGTCACCAGCTTTCTCTTGAGTGTTAATTTGTGATCTCAAAAGAAATGGTAGACTTAAAACCTAATGTAATACCCAAGACATGCATATAACTAATATATGAAGAGGGTAACTTTGTAATTTTAAAAAAATTAGGTTAATAAACTCATTAGGTTTTACAGTTATTCTCAAAAAATCCAAAGAAGGGGATCTTGTAACGCCCTTAATTTTATTACCTGATTCCATTACCAAATACATTATTAAAATCAATTCTTTATTAATAATACGGAAGCAAGAATAATTCACCAAACACAAATATTCTCTCTTGTACCTTCAATGAATGAAATGCTCAAATACATTAATTCACAAAATGTGCCCTTAGGCTTACATTGAGGAAAAATAAAACTCAAAGAAATGAAGTGAGAGAGAGATTGACACTCTCTTTAAAGCAAATGGCATTTTGCCTACAGGTGAAAGGCCCCATTGGCCAACAATAACAAGACATCTTAGTCCTGCGCAATTCTTCAACTTTGTACTTGAAAAATAGCTAACAACATGGGATGAACAACAAAGTCCAGTAGAGATCTCATTGATTCCAAACAATAACAGTACATAGATAGCTCTGATCATGAATACTACAAGTTATAATTATATGTAATGTGACTTTTGTATTCAAAATATACATACATAAATATATTCTTTCTCAAAAGATTCCATCCTTTATGTAACAACCCTCATTTTGACTTAGTCATACTTGCATACATTTATGGATGATCTTGTATTAATATGTGCATTTGCAAATCTTGTCTTGTTTTGCTTGAATGATTGCTTGCATGCTTTGTTCTTGACTGGTGTGTTGCCGAGGTCATCTTAAGCCTAGACACCTTCGAGACCTTTATCACTTAGAACTATCTTGGAACCCCTTTGGTTGACCTCCACCTTCACCCTCGCATATTGGCCGAGATGTCACCATTTGGGCCGAGGTTCGCGTTGCCTAGGCCGAGATGTACATCATTTGGGCCGAGATGTTAATATCTAGGCGTTCTAGATCCTTGATCCTTGCATGAGGGATTTTGTTCCTGGAATGGTATGACCTAAACCGAGGTGTGACACATCTAGGCCAAGGTGTGGCACAGCTTAGTCAAGTGTTATCCTTCCAAGCCGATGTCATTGTTACCTTGCTCGCCGAAGCTTTGCCCTTAGCCGAGGTCATCACCTACCGGAGTACTCTTGTTGTTTAGCTTGTTGAGTACGCTTTGTTTTGGTCTTGTCTTGTCAAGTCAGTCACCTTTTCGAGTAGAGCCTATCAGCCGATGCCACGTGTCCCAACAGAGGGATTAAGCCAGTGATTGTCGTGAGGAGCATACCTTTTTGTATCAATCTTGCCTTTTAGAGAGAGAAGCTCTAGGAAGAAGAAGGGGAAGTTTGAGCTAGAGAGAGAGAACTTCCAAGCTTGATCGTTGGAGCTTGAGCCGTTGGATTCGAGATTTGAGGTTAGAATCTTAACCTATTCTTGTTGTTCTTATTCATCATCTAGCTGCATTGCACGATCAAACCTGTTCTACACGCCATTCATCGATTTAAAGTTGGTTTTAGAAAGAGAAAACGGTTTTCATGTGTTTTTGAAGAAAAGCCTCGTTTGATCCGAAAGTTTGCATTAAGGCTCATGCTTTAGTGTTTGTTTTGATAAGATCCTTGAGTGTGGGTACCCAGGTCCATGTTTTGAAATTATAGCATGAAATCTCAGCTTTTGTAATAGCAAGTTTTGATCTTTGCGCTCATCTTCTTCATACTCATGTTCTTCATGTTTACCAAGAGGGAAACCCAGATTTTCCCGACTTCACTTTTGAATGTGGCCATCGAGGCTACCCCTCGGTAACGAGGTGCGGGACCTCGGCCTAGACCTGGTAGTTGCCCAGCGTGTTTTTTCAAAGATAAGAAACTGTGTTTCGATTTAATTGACTTAATTTTTGATCTCAGTAAATTACTAATTAAATTCCCAAGAAATTCTACATAAATTATTCTTCAATAGACCTTGCCATGTGTTTGTAGGACTTGGACTTGCCTTGACCCCGACGTTTAATGAACTAGGTGAGTGGTATTTTTAATAAAGCTATGTTATACGTTTTGATAAAGACTTTGCTTTGTCTTGTTTTGAAAGTGTTTGTAAAGCATGAATAATTGTCCCTATTTTGTATATCAAGTATGAGCTTGTCTTGATGACCTTCTTGGAAAGCCCCTTGTGCTGGAGGACTCTAAACTTTCACAGCATATCTCGTTTGAAAGTCCCTTGTGCTGGAGGACTCTAAACTTTCGCAGCACATCTTGTTTTGAAAGTCCCTTGTGCTGGAGGACTCTAAACTTTCGCAGCACACTTGATTTGTACTCTAGTGTTAAAGGGCTACGAGCCTTTGTAACCTAGGTCCCTCGTGCTGGAGGACTCTAAACTTTCGCAGCACATCTTACCTTGAAAGTCCCTTGTGCTAGAGGACTCTAAACTTTTGTAGCACCCTTGTTTAAGATACCTCTCTTGCTTCGTCTTGTTTTGCCACGGACGGTTTACCGCGTGGATACGCTTGCCGGAATGTTATTATTTGTAATATGTGATGCTAGTAAGTGTCCCTTGAAGCTTTGAAGATTTGTTAGATGGACGAGGTCCATTCCTTGTTATATATAAAGTTTTGTCTTGTATTGTTTTGAAAGGACTTCGGCTATTATTCATGCAAACCCCTTTATTATTTATACCATTCACTGAGTATCCAAGCTCACCCTCTCTATATATATGTAGGTGATGAGCAAGAAGGCGGTGATGCCTAGATGTGAATCTGGAGCTTATTTTGGATTTTGATTATGTCGGCCTAACCTGTAATTACGTCGGCAGTCTTGAAAATTATGCTTCTCGATTTGTAATACTTGTATGTGCATACGTCGGCTTGAGAAGCCTTTTGATCAAGATGCGTGTTTTGTATACGTGTTATGTTGGTAGTGAGGATGTCGGCAATTTTGAAGATTTTGCTTCTAACTGTATTTCATGTATTTTGTTCTTGTCGGCCTGTGAAGCCCTTTTGTTAATATGAAAGATGTAATTTGTACTTTGTTTCGTTTGTAATTGAGTTGTAACCCATCTGCAGATGATTGCTATCTCATTTGACTTATGCACAGCTCTTATGGACTAATCTGTTTGTATAAATCGCTTCCGTATTTGTTAGCCCCATATAATTGTACTCTGATTGTGTGTGAATTTTGTAAGTTGGCCTTCGGTAATCTCGGATTACTGGCCATCATTGCACCAAACTACTAGGGGCGGTTTGGGGTCGTCACACTTTATCATTTCATAAAAAAAAAAAAATTCTAATTTCTTGATCCTTGTACTCACCAATTTCAATTTAAGGACATTTCTCAATCTAAATCACATCTCAAACGCCATACGTACATTAACCATTTTCGCATTTCTATAATTCGTCTTTTATTTCCATAATCGATTCACTGTTAATCCTTTGCACCCTTGTGCTACTCATTTATATCAAACAATAATCCAATTATCATCGAACTCAACAATCATCTCACGATGTTACTCCAACTATTTTCACAACACATATGTTCATTAACAACTATCTCTTCAGATATATGCAAATTGACAATCAAATAAACTTGAGGATTCACTAAGCCTCACATCACCACCGTGGTCTCACCAAGCCCCACGTCTGCCTGCTTTACAGGTTGCTAGTCGGAAGGAACGCATTACCTCTATATAGCACAGCCTGCTTTACCGGATGCTAACCGGAAGGAACGCATTACCTCTATATAGCACATCCACCCGCTTTACCGGTTGCTAGCCGGAAGGATCGCGTTACCTCCATATAGCACAATCACATTTCACAACACAAGTATCTCAAATTCATTCTATTCGATCTCATCTATTACGCGATTGGACTATTCAATCGATAACACATAAGGTTTCATATCAACTTGTTTCTCATCAATACTACAACAAACAATACCATCCTCCACCGATGGCCAAGGACAAAACCTCTAGACAAAAGGACTCAAATCTCTTATAGGAACAATATAATTCTCATAACAATTCCATGTTTGATTTCACCACTTCCAATCATCAATAGTTTCGGCATAAAGTAAATTTCAAGACCATTACGTATTTCCCTTCCTATTCAAATTTCCTGTTACAAGTTCACAACAATTAATTTTAAAATCATTATCCATTCTTCGTTTATTTATATTCTACTATTTCAAAATTCTGATTTCATTAACTGAAATTCCCAACATGTTCGGTATGGTTCCATTACACGACAACCCATCCATTTCCTTTCCATTTCAACTTCACAATAACTGATACGACTGATAAGTATAATCAGCTTACCTCATTCTCAAATTATTAAACCAACAATTAAAATTAAGCTTTTTAATTAAATCACCACAATGATGTTCTAAATTCGTATAAGTCTCAATAATTATATAATTATCAATTCTTCTCTAGCTTCTGGAATACTTAATTAAAAATTAGGGCTTTTACATAAATTCATTATAAACATGTTTTATTATCTCAAAATTTCATAATCAATAATGAATCAGTAGATAAGCTCTTAAAATCCAAAAGTCCTAATTCAAAATCCACATGCCTTTCAAAAATCTCTCTACAAATCATGTTTCTTATGCAATAATAAAATACCACATATATATCTATAACAAAGTATTGAAGAGAATCAAAGAAATCCTTACTTCAAGATATGAGTAAGAAGACGAAAAGGTGAAAAGTGTAGGTCCAAGGCAACAAACCCTCCTAGCTTCAAGATCCTCCAAGAACCCTTCACAAATAGCAAGCTCTCTTCACAAAACTCTCTCAAATCTCTATCTCTCTAACCACTCAAGAAAAACCCGAACAACCAAGGCTAAGGCTAGGACACCAACGTCTCTACAATGGAAAAAGAAGAATTTTAAAGGGGGGGAAAACAGGGAGAAGTCTCACGGCTTGCACAGAAAAAAAATAAGAAAAAGATTTTTCTCTTCTTCTTTCTTTGTATAGAGGGAGGACACCAAACAAAATGAATGGGAAGGAGCTCTATCTGTGGAGAAGTAGATCCAAGCCTAGGGAGGCGAGAATGGCTCTCGGCCAGCAGAGAGAGAGAAGTGATGTCTACATCTCATTTAATGCTTCTCTAGATATGTAATGAAAAATCACAAAAGAAATGGGCACACCCATCAATTAATACATATATTTTAATATGTTGAGTCTTGTCTCAGCACAAACAAGTAAAGGAAAGAAAGAAATCGAAAAAAAAAGGGGTGGGTGGTCGGCCATCAACTGTAGGAAAGGAGAGAGAGAGTTTTCTTTGATTATAATATGAAACTAAGGCCTCGTTTAGGAACAGGTTATTTTAATAACTTTTTGGCTTTTTACGAAAAGATGTGCAGAAAAGTAGAGAGGTGATGTGACTAGTTTTAGTTGGCTTTTTGGCTAAAATAGTCAGTCCCCAAACAAGGCCTAAGTTTTTGTCTCATCTTGGATTTCACCAACACAGATAATAAAGAAAGAAATCAAAACTTTAATGTAATAAACTAATCAAGATAAGGTGAAAACAAGATCCTCTCATTTGGTGAAAGGGGCAAGTTAATAAATAAAATCTTTGATGATTAAAAAAAAAAAGTATTACTTTGATTTTATGGTGTGTATCATAAATTCATCATTCATAAGTCTTATCATAATTTGGTGTCACACACCACAAATATTCACAACCTTCTTATGATGATTCAGATATATATATATATATAATCAAGACATGGACTAAATCAATTGAGTCCAATATGAGTAAAGTTCAATAATTTGAAGTAGCTATCTAATTTGGGACTTAAGCAAAAATAAACCAAATAGACCCAAAATGGTCTCCACCATTCACATAATTAGTTACACAAACTCAAATTAAATTAATTCTAAATCATGGCTCTTGAATTAAATTTTCACCTATAAACCAAACATGACCCATATATATATCAAATTACACCCGACAAACTTTATCTCACGTCATGGTCTTACACTCAAAATAAACACAAAATCAAAATTGGATCATAAAAATTATGTTGCGTCAATTTATCAAACACCGATAAGTCTATGAATTTTATAAATTAAATATTCATCCTTTCATTCTAAAAATTTTGTCCAATATACTAGCTTCAAATGGGAACATCATATAATTTTTTTTTATATGTTTCTGAATTGTGAAACTATTTTAAAAGTTCATAGAATTAGAATCTAAATAAAAAAAATTAATTTACTTATTTATTTATTTATTTATTTTCTTAGTCATTACAGATCTCTTGAGGGATCCAACAAAAGAGGTTGAAGAACCAATTCTTGGTACTAGGTCAATCTATTTATTCTTTAAGGTAAGAACTCTAGTACAACCTCTCCTTTCTATTATTTATTGTATTTCAATTTGGGGCTAAATTTCTTTAGGGTTTGGCTAGAACCCACGGATTATGTATGATGTTTGGGTAGTTTTTGGCGATTAACCTGTGAGAAGTGCCTGAGGTAGCAGAGCATGGCAACATTTGTACCTTGCTTGGGTCGGTGCAAGAAGTAAGGAGCCAAGGTGTGTTGTGTGGGATTCATATCACTTGCATGTAATATGGCTGGTTGGATATCATAGAAACCATAGTTGAAAAAAAAAAAAAAAAGAAAGAAAGAAAGAAAGAAAAAAAGAAAAAGGAACTTATGAACGGAATTGCTTAACCAAACTGGTGAGTGTATGGGCATTAATATTAATCAGCAAAGGTGATTGAATTATTATAAGTGGGTATGGGTTAAGGACATTTGCAAGACCTGAAGTAGATAGAATAGATGACTGTTGTAGACAATGAACAATCCTAGACTTAGATTATTGCATGAACACACATTAGGCAATGTTTTCTTTGATAATTATTGGGGAAATCATATATCAATGTAAATTTAAAAAAAATAATTACAGATTAGTAGTCAAGTTTATGAATATTAATAATTAAAATTATAGATTTTTAATGTACTTATAATTTTTTTTTTATATAAATACACTGGAGTGTAATCCTTCCATAATTATTTATGTGGTGTTATATTTATTAGGACTACGAGATTGAAGTGAATCGTGGTATTTTGAAGTTAGTTTTGGGATTCTTTTAGCACTTGAGGTAAGTGACCCTCCACCACTGCTAGTGTTTTGGCCTCAATGTTCTACCTAAAAAGTGCTTCTTTGTGTTTTCCATGTGTTTTGTTAAAATATGAATCAAGTATGAAATAATTCTAAGTGATATTATTTAATTATTGTGATTACTTGTATCAAAATATTTATGTCAGGGATATCAAAATGTTTTGTACTTCAAAGTAAGTAAGTTCATGTACAAAATTTAGAACTTGAGTCTTGTCTTACTATGATCTGGACTTTAGCCAATGAGAGTTAAAAGTTGGCAAACTTGTTTCTTCTGGAACTTTACCACACGCCTATGTGTGGTTCCGGGCCTTGTTATCGACTAATGTGGCTGTAGTTGCTAAGACTTGAGTTCTAATGATTGAATTATCATACCATTGGACATCGAACCATTGCTTTCAACAAATAAATTTGACTCTTATCATTGACTTATTTTATTGTTTTCTTTAATCAGATATATTGTTACGCTGTTCATCCAGCCATTGATCTACCTCGCAAATAAATCATTCATTCATAAAAAAAACATATTTCTTCCTTTTTGATTATTTTCTGCTACTTGATCTCCAACTAGCAGTGGTAGTTGGTGACTTACTCAGCTGTCGAGCTTATCCCATCAATGAATTTGTTTGTTGATTTGGAATGAAAGTCCATACAATTTCGGATTACTAGATTAATCATTGATTACCGAATTTTTGGTGTTATTTTGTATTATTTAATATTTGGAGACAATTATAACTTGCAACTTTAAAAGACATAATTTATTAGATGCTTAACAATTCTAGTGCTATATATATATATATATAAGTTGATCGGAGAAGCAATTAAATATTATTTTTACTTGACAATGTTGCAATGACGCGGACCGTTACACCTAATCACTATAGTCAACATCCCACAGAAAGAAAATATAGAATATATTGCTCAGTCTCACATCATTTCTATCAAGATACTTACTGAGAGCCACAAACAACATAACCAGTCCCAAAAAGGTTACATACCTTGTTGTGGCTAGATAGCTTCCAGATGGTGAAAAGTAAGCAGAATGCACAGCCCTTTTATGGTTAAAAGTCTTCAAACATTTCGGCTTATCTGCATCAATATTTCTCAAATCCCAAATGCAAGCAGTTCCATCAGTGGAGCTCGTTGCCATGATGTCAGTGTTTTCCGAATTGAAATCTATAGTGTTGATTCTATCTTCATGCAAAATCCACGAAGCTGAAGATTTTCCTGCCCTCTCATCCCAAATATTGAGAACTCCATGACCTTTGCTAAAATACAAGGACTTTGCATCATTTGTTCGTTGAGAAATAGAAAATATAGCATGATCGCTGAAATAAACCAGATCAAATATTTCCTTCTCGACATCCATCAATCGGATAAATCCATCATAGCAGCTAGTATAAACCTACATACACATTGATATACAAACAGAGGAATGCACAAGCCAAGTTGAGTCATGTCACTACCAACAAATGAGATACAAGAACTGGTTGTTGCAAAATAAATGCAAAATGAATGAATTAAAGGGGTTAATTGCACATACACATGCTATATTTACTTCTTCATAGGGCAAAAAACATATACTTTAAATAAATTGCAAAAGTAATACTTTTGAAATGGAAAATGGTTGAATTACAATCCCCGAAACCAGCCGTGGATGAGGGCAGCATAGATAAATCCCATCTCCATCCTCATTTTCAGCATCAAAATCCCAAAATCCAACATTCCCAAACTTGTTTCCCACAGCAATCAATTTCATATCCGTAGACGGAAAGAACCTCAACACTAGTATTCTCCTTGGTACAAACCTAGCTATATTTTCTGGTTCCAACCCCATTGATTCCAAATCAACACAACCCCGAACCCGAATTGGGTAGCCAAAATTGACATTTTCATTCACACGAGCCATCGAATTGCAGGAACCCCCTTCAATTTCCTTCCTTGAGTCATGACCACAACACAATTGGGGTTTTTTCAAAACGCCCATGATTTTTTCAGTGAATTTTTGTTGGTGAGAGGCGTAACTGCAATACGCATCACCGATGGTAATAGGACCTGAGGACTCACATTTATGCTGTGATTGGTTGGGGATTTGAGGAGGGATTTGGAAAGAGAAAGGGAAAAGAGATGTGAAATTAGGTGAAATATAGACATGTTTTATTCACATTTCACCTACATTTTCTATTTTTCTTTCCAAATTCCTCTCCAAATCTCCCAACCAAACATAGCATTAGGGTTTGATTTGGGGGTCTTAGTTAAGGTTTCATCAAAATCGTGCATATTGGTGGCATCAGGTGGCATTCTTTTGGTCCGTAGCGAACGCCGAATGAAAATTGGGGTTTCGATTTTTGATTTCTTCTCCGGGCCATTTTTGTAAGACTTGATTTGAGCTCTAGAGAGAGAAAGAGAGAGAGAGCTTAGTAGATCTTTAACATTATATATATATATATATATATATATGTATAGGCATTTAAAATATGTAAGATAGAGAGAGACCTTTGGCGCTTAGTTGAAGCAGAGAGGTCGTTAATTTTGGAATGGATCTTAAGAGAAGCGAACATTTCATCGTTGCGTTTGATGTTCTCAAACCTTCGAAGCTCGCACTCTGTAAGTTTCTTCTGATGTGCCATTGAAGAGAGAGAGAGAAGAGTGGCGCTTGATTTGTGTGAAGTTCGTACTCCGTATATGTATATATATCTACTTATACGTGGGAATTAAAACTGGAGGGAACCCAATAATATTAATAAAAACAAAAAACAAAGAACAAAAAAAAATAAATAAATAAATAAAAAGAAAAAAACCCTTCAAAGAGTGTGCATAATTAAAAAAATGATATAATTTTAATTTTTTCTATTATAACTAAAGTAATATCATACATAAAGAAGAAAATTTGTCATAATTAAAAAAAAAAATAGCATAACTAAAGATTCATATGGTACACCCTTTTTAAAAGGATGCATAACTAAAGATTTGTATAGTATGCTTCTGACCAAAAACTCACTTCTACAAAATTGAACCCCCTTTAATTTTATTTTTTATTTTTGTACAATTCTATCCTTAAATAAAATTATCATAATGGATAAATTTAAAATTCATTTCACGGTCACCATACATCATTTTTCTACTGTAGACATGCAACATTCAAAATCCAACATGTCCCTGGTACAACATGGCTATAACTTGGGTAGGCTCGATTAGACTTTCTACTTGTCCAAAATTTGTAAAGTTTACAAGTATTAAATTCAACAATGACTTAAATTCATGTTTATTATATATTTTATATTTATTAATAACAGAATTTGGGTTGTTCAAATCATTATTCATACTAGGGATATCCACGAATCGGTTTGGGACGGTTTGCGGTTCAGTTTGGACCCGCCCGCATCTATGCGGTTTGGCAGAAAGTCAACCCGCAACTGCCCGCAGTGCTGTTTGCGGTTTGTGCGGATAGGGTTCGCGAATGTGCGGGCGGTTTGCGGATTGAACTTTTTTTCAAAAATTTATTTTTAAACCTTTTATTTTTTCCCATTTTTTTAATAGTTATTTTGGATTCAATTTTAATTTTAATAACAAATTCAACTTTAATTGTAATAATAGATTCAATTCTATACAGATTCAATTCCAATTTCAATAACAGATTCAATACATATTCAATTCTATACAGATTCAATTCCAATATCAATAACAGATTAAATACAGATTCAATTTCCACTTCTCACAGATCTGTTGGAGCATTGCAAAAGCACAGATTCAATTCCAAAAGCACAGATTCAATTAAAAAAAAATAGAGAGAGAGAGAGATTTGTTTGCATAAACACATATTCAATTTCCACTTCTCACAGATCTATTGCTACAAAAAAAAAAAAATCAAATTTAATTCCAAACAATCACAAAGATTCATTTTCCACTTCTCACAGAATCAATAATAGATTTAATTCCAATTCCACAGATTTAATTCTAAAAACACAGATTCAATTCCCAAAAAAAACAAAAACAAAGAGAGAGATCTGTTTACATAAACACAGATTCAATTTCCACTTTTTCACAAATTTGTTGCTACAAAAACAAAATAGATTTAATTCCAAACAAACACACACATTCAATTTCCACTTCTCATAGACAGATCTGTTGTTACAAAAAATAAATAAATAAATAAACAGATCTGATTGCATAAAATAAACAGATCTGATGAGATGAGAGAGCGGGGGAGACAGATCAGAGAGAGAGGTCTGATATGTTGCCCAAAAAAAATCAAAGAACGGGGAAAGAGAGAGACAGAGAGAGAGGCTTACCGGTGAGGTCGATTGGTGCGATGAGATAGTGCAACGCCCTCAAAATAATACATAAAACCCATCACTTTAGACATGCATTGATATAAAAGAAATCAACCATTTCTATTCATCAGAATAATTCTTACAACTGTATTACATGTTAACAACAAAAGCAAATGCCCTATGGGCTTACAGCTTTCCAAGTTAACACTTGGTTTACAAAAAGAAGAGTGCTAACTCAATACATATTAAGCCCTTGGCTTGAATTTACAAGTAATACATCAAAATAAACAAAAGAGAGTCTTCAACTCTCATTATCATCCAAGCTATGTCCTTGGAGGTGGCATACTACATGTACCTGAAAATAATGTCCCATAAAGGGTGAGCCAACGCCCAGTAGAGATATGCTAAACACAGTATGAGCAATAACTAAGACATTAGCAATTGATAAATGTTCAATTTCCATAAACCAGTTCATAGCCCGTTTCCATTTCATGACCACTATGTTCATGTTTCATTTCGATTTCTATTTCTTATTAATTTCACAATTTACCTCAACGGCTCAGAACTTGGCCAATCACTTATATGAGACAATGACTCATATTAAACATTTCCCAATTTACAATAGATAAACATACTAGTTGTATCAACATCTCAACAGATAAGCATACAAGCTGTATCCACATTTCAACAGATATGCGTATTAGCTATATCAACACTTCCAATGATAAGCATATGAGCTGTATCAACACTTCCAAAGATAAGCATATGAGCTATATCAACACATTATCTGACAAGCATATGAGCTGTATCAGTGGAGTCCATTCCCTATCTCCTCCCAAACAACATCCGGTTTAGAGGTCCATCCCCTATCTTCCCCTAAATCGTGGAGTACATCCCCTATCTCCTCCCACACACACAACGTATATACACAAAGGTCATATACACAATCAATCAATACATAACGTTAATGCATTCTATCAACCGTCATACTCTATGACATATCCAATTGATTAGTTTTAGTTTGCCTAATCATCATGCATTGTCTACAACAATCAAAACTACCCTCCACCGGTAGCCCAAGCAATTATTTCTAAACAAATAATAAAAGCTCTAATAGATAAAATATCAATGTTTTCAAAAGTGAGCGATTAATAAATCTAACTCCACTATTCTACCATATAATGAACCAATTTCATTATTTCCAACTCAATTCCATATAGCTACAATCTTCCCAAATTAATCATACCAATTAATTTATACAACCAATTAGGGTTTTCTACCCCATTTCCCAATATTGACCCAATGGCCTAAATATCAACAACCAACATCAATAACACTATTTTGAAACCTAAAATACATATTATGAGCCCAAAATCACAAAACCCTCTTTAACACATTTTGAAACCCTAAGTCCCAAAATCAACCATTTAAACAATAAGCTTAAAATCTACGTTAAAACCCATAAGGGTGAGTAGGAATCCCTACCTCAAATTCGGAGCTCAAGGAAAGAAGATGAAGAAAACTCAACGTGCTCCAAAACTCAATGTACTCGGATCAAAACGTAGCCCTCGACGATCAACCCAACTTTTATAAAGGCCGAAGGGAAAAGAAACACTCTAACTAGATCAAACCCTAGAGAGAAGGGAGTTTCTAGAGAGAGGAACTCTCAAAAATGGCTTTTTAGAAAGTAAGAGAGAGAGAGACAATGTAAAAAGTGAATTTAAAACGCCCAACTGCCAACTGATATACGACATTCCCGCTCGAGCGGAGAACACAACGCTCAAGCGCCAAGAACAAAAACTAGGTCCGCTCGAGCTCAATAAGGCCCGCTCGAGCGCCAAGACACAAGAATAAAATACATCCGCTTGAGCGCGAAAACCAGTCCGCTCGAGCGTAGATTTCCCCTTCCTAGAACTTACACCAAAAGGTACTACCCGCTCGAGCGCCACCGCTCGAGCGTAAAGAAACCCGCTTGAGCGTAAAAATCACACCTACAGAAGTTTTGCAGGGACACGAAAAAATGGGAGCGTGCAATCTCCGCTCGAGCGCAAGAATACCCGCTCGAGCGGACCTCCTAAAAACTGGGCAATAAGGAATTGAAACCAAAGCCTAACCAACCTGTAACAACTCTGCCCAATACATCCTAAAACTTAATCAAGTGGAATTAAAGGATGACAACAAGGTATACCACCACCAACATCATGGAACTAAGTCCGGAATACAACAAAACAGTAAAGGGGCAACCGGGATCGCTATAACCTCCTCCCCTTAAAGAATTTCGTCCCCGAAATTAAATACAAGTTTTTCAAAAACAAGATTTTCTCAATTCTCAACAATATTACAACATAATATTTAATAACCCGACCCATTACCGGTCAATCCCATCTCTTTTCAAGAGGCATATCACATTATTCGTAATAACCTGCATTATCAACATGCATTCCTTTGAAATTTACCAATTTCAACCCGTTTCCCACAATTCCATAATACATGCAACATTAATATCATGCCTGCATTTCCACAATACATTGAACATATGCAATGTTATAACAAATTTTCATTAACCAAAACATTCACAATGTTTTACAACTTAAGACACATATAATGTTCTTAAAGTTCAACGATATTACAAAATTACCAATACATGGTTACACATCAACAAACAAGTCCGGATATTTCTCGCGGACTTCCAACTCACGTTCCCAAGTGGCTTCCTCCACTCCATGATGTTTCCACAAAACCTTCACCAAAGGAATGGTCTTGCCACGCAGGACTTGATCCCGCCTATCCAAGACCCGAACCTGTCTTTTCTCATACGAGGCATCCTCATCTACCTCCAAGTCGGTCCAATCTAACACATGGGACGGATCCGGCTCATACTTCCGAAGCATACTCACATGCTCATACTTCCGAAGCATACTCACATGAAACACGTCATGCACTCCGGACAACTGCGGTGGTAAAGCTAAACGATAAGCAACCTCGCCAACTCTCTCAAGGATCTCAAAGGGACCAATAAACCGAGGGGATAACTTCCCACTCTTCCCGAACCTCATCAAACCTCACCTAGGTGATATTTTCAAGAAGACATGATCACCTACCTCAAACGCCGAAGGCCTCTTCCTACGGTCGGCATAACTCTTTTGGCGACTCTGGGCTGTAACAAGCCTCCTACGGATAAGCTCAACTTTCTCCGTCGTCTCTCTAACCAACTCCGGACCCAACAAAGGTGCATCACCCACCTCGGCCCAACACACTGGAGACCTACACGGTTGGCCATACAAGGCCTCAAACGGTGCCATACCGATGCTAGATTGAAAACTGTTGTTATAGGCAAACTCCACCAAAGGCAAGTGCCTCTCCCACATCCCACTAAAGTCAAGG